TGCTGTAGTACACAACACACACACACACACAATTGTATAAATGATTCAAATATAGTGAGATGTTAATTATCTGTTTTCAGCATTCTTGGAGGTATCTGAAGCATTCTGATAACTGGAGTGCTAGGGAAACAGGAGATCAGTTTACATAATGGTAGTGATAGTGCTCAAGATTCTGTGATGAGGAAATTCACAGAGTCCTCTAGTGACTGTGATGGTTTGCAAATGGAGGGAGCACATTCATAAGGCATGTCAAGCAAAAACGGAACCATTAAAGCAGACTTTTAGGACCTGTTGCCTGTATAGAATGCAAACTCTAGCCATGTCAGGTCTGTTCCATTTGTGCTCCTCCAAGCTAGACCCAATCCACTAATGGTTGGGTTCACATGATACAACAAGTTACAAAGTTTTGTCCATTGTGTCATCCTGACTTGGTTGTCCTTTCTCTGCGTAGTACATTATTTTTTTTAGAAGCCACAACAATATACAAGTTTGTTCTATGGTTTCTCTGTACCACAATGATTTTTCATGATGTCTGAACCCAGGAGCATGGTTTTCATGGTCTGGCAACACAACTACCACAGAGTTTCCTGGAAAGAGTGGCAACTGGAAGAGCCACCAGCCATACAGCCTCTGCTACCGTAGTCTGCCTAGCAACAGACATGGCGCCACCTACCTTGTTCCTACAGGCTGCTCTCCACTCCCATCCCCCTCTGGCTTCTCTATTTTCTGCCAGATGTCCAGCAGCAGAGAAGTATGCCACACTCCTTGAAATAGCACCCTTAGACTTGGCTGCACTCCTGTCTGTGCATTACAGTTCTCTCAGATACCACTATCTGTCAGCCAAAAGCATTTTGTATTCAGGCAAAAGCATTTCTCCCCATCTTTAAAGTCACTTCTTCAAATGGGCAACACACTGGTCATGAAAAAGGGGAGTGTCTTCTGAAAAAAAAACTATTGTCATAAATTCAACATTCCTTACTCTCCTCACTTTGTATGTTGTCTTCAACAAACCTCAGGTCTTTCAACGAGCCTTCTGTACTCCCTAGCAGATCTGCTGTACAAATACTAACCCTAAAGTCAGTCCGTCAACATTTGAACCACACACAGGAGCTGCCTCTGCAAAGCTGGTGCCAGCAGGATACATTCTGCTCTATCCCTACCATGGGTGCCTGTGCTCCCAGGCGGAATGGACACTGAGGAAGATGCCAACATGGACTCCCCAACATTCTCAAGATATGGCAGCCTCCCATGTACCTATTCATCAGTCCTCTCTGGAGGAAACCCCATCTACTGCAGAGGGGCAGCCATCAGAAGGTCTTCTTCTGGACCTAAAAAGAACTGGGCACATTCACTGACCTATGAATGGAGCAGGTGAAGGGGTGGGGGGTCTTCTCATGTGCCCCAGCCCTCTACAAGGACAAGCTGCATTCCTCAAGAAGGAGTTCACTGAGGTTGTCATGCACAACTAGTGCTCAGGGGAGGCCACCACAGCCCATGTCCTTCTCCTTGATTGCAGGGAATCATGCCAGGCTTATTACTGGAAGCAGGACTCCTCCCTTCCAAGTTCCAAGGCTGCACTTCTGGCCCATGAAGGGGACCCATGTACCATCCAGAAAATCTCAATTCCTACTCCCTCCACCTCCAGAAGGTGTGTCTTTTCCCACATGGGCATGCATTTCCCCCAGTGCTTCTCTGTGCCACATCCTCCATCAACCTCTCCAGACCATCATATGCCTCCACCACCACCATGAGAAGCTTCTGTCTCAGCACTGCAGGGCCAGCCATCCCTTTGTTAGATCCATCCTTTACTTCCCAGCACTGGAGAAGCATACTCAGAGTGGCTGGTGCACCATCAGGGCTACTCAACAAGCAGTAACCCAAAAAGGCATCCATCCAAAATAGACTTGTAAAGATTGATAGTATCCATAACAGCTAAGCAGTCCTTCTTCTGCTACCTTTATGACCACCTGCATTCCTACCCATCTCTGTGCTATACACTTATCTCTCTGCCTAGCGTAAAGAGGTGATTGTCTATGTAGCAAGGGCATTCCTCCTGGAGAAGCTGCAGCAATCTACCTTTCACCAAATTAGAAAAATGCAGGGTAAGAGGGAGTGAATAGTGCATTTTTTATTTTTCCTAACAACGGAGGGAGTGCTGAGCCCTCATCCCTTGCCACAGGAGAAGACTCCGAAGATCTAAACATAAATTGACAGGTGTGGCATGTAAAGGTAGATGAGCCTCATGAGACTAAGAGGGCTTATCTGAGAAGATAGCCTATCTTGTACCAAGCTTCCCTTGACCGACTTTGATGTTCTTTTCCCCCTGCCTTCTTTTCCCTTCCCTTCCTTCTTGGATGCTTCAGTGTGCCCCCTTTGGCAGAAGTTCCTGCTGGAATGCAGATATCAGAGGCAAGAAGAGCAAGAGTCATGGTGTGTTGACGTGATCTGCTCTCAACCATCAGTTTCCTGAGCAGGGTGGAGTTCTCCTTATTCCAAACACAACACAACACCTGTAGCTACAATGTGTGCATGCCTCCTGCCATTTTGAGGAGTGGCTTGTTTCCTGTGAAATGTTGGCTGGTACAACATGCAACATTGTCCTTACTTCCTACAGTGCATCTGCCTATTCTCACTTCCACAGCAACATGCTTCACTCTCTTCATTTCAGCGTGTAAGGCAGCAAAGGAAACTTCTGCATTCTACCCTTACCCACACAGCTCTGCATCTCAACATCCTCCTCTTCCTTTTTCACATTGCACTATGGTGCAGCAGCAGCATTGTGAAACTTCAGGAAGAAGGAGAGGGGAGTTGTAAATGGTTACATGGCATGCATTTCACTGAGGAGGAGCCACCCACACAGGGAAAAGAGGTAGATTTTGGCAATGTTAGGGAATGGGAAATGTCATGTCTGGTTGCAGAAGTAGCCCTGCATCCAGAGGTTAGATATATGTTTGCATGCAGAAAAATGCTCTACAGGTGGCAGGGACGGGGGGAGATTCTGAGCACAGCTTTCAGGCAGCAGAGCTTTCCCAACAACAGAAAGGTTCAATGAGTATTTTTGAAATATGATATGCTGTATTACCTCTCTGAATAAATTTCTTCTACACTGAAACCCTTTGTGATACTACAGAAAAACGTATGTGTTTTGCTATAGATAGAGCTATCTTGTGAGAAGGATTTGGTGTGATGTCTAGAGGCTGTGTTCATGTTAGCAAACAGATTGCTGCAAGGTCCATGGACATGTATTTTGGGTTGTGTGTGATGACAGTGAGGCAGGGGGGTTGGAGGACACTTGAGCAGGAACAGAGTCAGAAAGTCGGACTGCTGGGCAATGAAGAAGCTGCAGTAGGTGAGGAAGAGGCTCAAAGTGGGTACCGGCATGGAGGAAGGAGAAAGATTCTGTTATCAAGGCAGACATGAGGGAGGGAGGATAGGCAGCCAAGGCATTTTTGATGCCAGAAATGGAGCTAAGACAATGGAAGCAAGAAGGTAGGTTTCAGGCATGGCAGATGGTTCCAGAGTGTAGCATGTGTGGGCAAAGGTACTTCCTGTGGGCAATAATATGAGGGAAGCAGGAGTGACAGGTCGGATAATGGCGGGCAAAGGGTGCTGGAGCAGGGCATGGATAAGGGAGTGCCAGATGGGCTGACAGCAAAACATGCTTCCACGCTACATCCTGAATGGGTGGATGGGGTGCACTTCATGGGCTGGTGGTGCAGAACCGATTATGACACTGGCTGCAGGCATGGTGCAGGAGACGGAGAGTAAAGCCTGCTCTCACACATGCTCTCTTTGGGAATGCATACATGGAAAGAAACACATAATTGATATGTTCTTGGTTCCTGCACAAGGACAGGCCTCAGTCAGTCTTCAGTGAGGGATGGTGGGCGGGATAAGGAGTGCGGCTAAAGATGCTTGGACATGGAGAAGGCTCATGGAGGAAAATGTTGCTGACTATGGGGCAGATCCATTAATGCATAGCAAACTTTGGCTGAGGAAAAGAAGGAAAAACAGAAGGGGAGATTGATACAAAACACACCCAGGGAACTGTGCAGACCAGTGAAGAAGAGACTGGGGAGAATGCACTTTAGGATTAAATTGTAAGTGCAGTTGGGATATATCCAGCTAGCAGGAGGTTTGAGCAGGGAGAATGGAAACCATATTAATGCAGAAATTACTTGATCATCTGTTAGCTGGATCATAGTAAAAAAAAATGACCTGAGTAACCATGCAGGTTGCTTGCCATGCTGTGCAAACCCACCCTTTGTGTTCTGCAGAGTGCTTGACACCTCCCCTGAGTTTTTCCAGTTCCAAGCAGACAGAATAAACAGGAGCTTTGTTGTATGCCTGATGGAATGCTGCATATGGCTGGTTGGCAGCATTGTATTTGGTGGGCCACCGATATATGAGAGCCAGTGTGGTGTAGTGGTTAAGAGCATGGGTCTGGGACACGGGCGATCTGTGTTCTAGTCACCACTCAGCCATGGAGCCAACTGAGTGACTTTGGGCCAGTCACAGGCTCTCAGCCCAACCTACCTCACAGAGTTGTTGCCGTGGGGATAAGATTGAGAGCAGCAGGAGGAGAATGACATAAGGCACTTTGAGTTCATTGTAAGAAAAAAGTTAGGGTATAAATCTAATAATAAAATAGCTTCATGCTCTCCATTAGGCCTAGCTTAGAACTGTGTGACATAAAAGGAGTGAAAAGACTATAATATTCCACTCATCTAAAGTTTTAAGAATAATGGAATTTCAGTCTGAGAAGTAAAAGAAGACCTTGAGATCTTAAAAAAGCATCCAACTCCCAAAATTTCTCTATCCCTTAGTTTTAAGAATCATGTAATTGAAAAATGAATCCTAAAGGTTATGAGCAGTTAGAATTTTACCAGAATACATGACTTTGCTTCTGGTACAAAACAGAAATAATTACATTTTGGTGCTACGACACAATCATGGAAGCAACCTTGTAATGTGATGTTCTTTCCTTAAATTTTCTACAGCATTTAGCTTCACAACAACACATTCTCATGAATGAAGAATCCATGAACCTTTTGAGTCTCTACACATCCCCGTCATTGCCCAACATAACTTTGGGACTTCCAGCAGTGCAAACACAGCTCAGTGTAAGTGGTTGATGTAAACAGCATCTTCGTTGGCTTTAACTATTAAGACGTATCTTTTATATTCTATCTCCCTCTCTCAGTTATTGCTTCAGGTCAAATTTAAAATGAGGTTAGGTGATTCCACTGATCAGTTCTGCATTATGAGCTGTTTGTAGACTCCTTTAGGTGTTATTTGTCTGTTTCACATTTTCAACCTTACTCATTGATATATTCATTGGATTTCTCCTATGTTCTATCATGGCTTGCGGCTGATGTATCTAAAAACCTGCTTCTTCCGTAATACTCCTTCCCATGCTCTGCTTTAAATGCCCCCACAGACTGAAATTCAATGACGGGCTTCTCCGCAATGGCTCCTAAATTGTGGAATGCCCTCTCTAAAGAGATTGCCCCCTAGCATTGTTGGGGAAAGTCTCGTTGGCTTTCCCATGCCAGGCAAAAATAATTTTATTCTCTCCAGCCTTTTAAAAAGGTTATTTTACTTCTCACATTCTAAAGCTGCTTTAAAATTGATCTTTTCTATATTGCCTTGATATTTCCTGTTTTTAAGAAGCTGTTGTGGCCGTTTTTAATATTTTCATTTAAAATTATATTATTTCTTTTTTGCATTTGTTTTTATTATGGGTGTTGGACTGAGGGATTTAGCTATGGGCCAGCTCAAATCTGAAATAAATATGTAATACATAAATTCAACACTGACTGGTTTCAGTGAACTATATTGCTAATTTAAATCATACTTTAAATAGCTGAGAAAGAACTTTTCCTGATTTAACTTGGCAGCAGTGGCAGGGAGAAAAAGGATTTAACCCACCTATATTTTAACTGTCTCACTTTGGCTTACCTCCTTTACTAATATCATTCTTGTGATGAAAATAACCGTCTTTTTTCATTCCTGCCCTTCTGCATATTTGAAGCGTTCATACTAGAGAGGGCTTTTCTTCCCTGAGCAATGTTAGAATAACTTTGAATGGATTCAAATGACCAGAATCCCCAGAGTAGTTTGCTTAAGACATTACTACATTCATGGTGCATGGAGAGAGAGCCTCATAGTATAGCCGCTGCTTTACATCCCAAAAATTCTAAGCAGCTAAACAGGGTGTGAGACAGGCAAGTGTTCATTTCAGGATGGGCTTGGCTAAACTTAACCTGACCCAAACCCATTTGACAATAAATCATATCATTACCAAGCTCATTTTGAAGTGCTAGTTTTGTTGCACTCCCAGTGCAGCTCCCAAGAACACCACAGACCAACAAGCCTGCCCTTCCCTGGTCTCATTTTAACTCTTCCATCTCTAACCTCTCCTTTTCACTGCCCATCCGTCTGTTATCCAAAACTATTTGTTCACTTGGGAGAAAAGCAGCTGTGGAGGAGGATTACAAAGGAGAAGTAGAATGTGATGAGGAGGGTTAAGCAACCCCACACCTGCTGCCTTGCCCCTTTGAAGATCACTGTACCGCAAACTCATACCACTTTTTAGCATTCTCCTGGAGTGGACATTGTGTGAGGAAATGTCCTCTCATCCAATAGGATTTATGCTCAGTCATTGAAACTTTTGATCATGAACCTATGAATCATGAATCATACCCTGAACCCTCCAGAGTAGACTGGGAGGTGCTGCATTGGGCAGGGGATATCCCTTTGACCATTGGCCCCCCTTCCTCCTGCACGGCAACATGATTAGATCCAACCCTTGCTACCCAGACCGGGATCTGCACTGAATTCTGATGTTCGCATGTGCTGTGCAAGTAGTGGAATGCTTCTAAGTCATTTTACATAAATTTATCAGCTGTTTTTGGAAAGTTTTTTTTAATATGTCTACTCTGTATTGCCTAATTGTAGGTGTCATCACCGTACAAAGAAAAACAAAAGTGTGAGGCCCAGCCAATCAGACAAGGAGTGGTGCTGCCTGGACAGTACAGGGGAAACATTTCGTCACCTTCGGCTCCTCAGCCCATTGTCTTAGAGGGAAAGCCAAACAGCAGCCACCAGGCTCTTCTCCAGCACTTATTACTGAAGGAACAAATGAGGCAGCAGAAACTCCTGACTACAGGTAAGCATCAACTTCATTTTTAAAGTGCTAAGCAGGGCCTTAATTGTATACAGCCATAGGGAGCTGCCATATACTAGCCTGGACAACTTACCCATCTAGACCAGTTTTGTCTATTTTGCCTGACAGCAACTTTTTTGGGTGTCATCCAGAATATTGACTAGCAAATCATTGTAACTGAAGATGTCAAGAACTGAAACTGGCTCTTTCTGTCTGCAAAGCTGGTGCTTTTTCCCTGAACATTTATTTAGCCCATTTTCTCAATGTCAGCTCCCCTCAGGAAAATAAATAAAAACAAACCATACACTTTGCTGATCAGCTTTCAACTGAAAGCCACTATGGTTACTTGTTTCCAGAACAAATGATTTACAGAAAGCCCAATAATTTGCTCCAAGTTTTAAAATGTTATTCACAAGAGTACAGAAACACAATTATCACTTCTAATCTCAGCTGTATCAGCTTTTACTTTTATGCCTATGTTTAAAAAAAATCATCCTATGAACTCAGTGGCAACTCAGGGGTACCCAGACAAGAATTCATAATGTGCTCTGCATGTAACTGTGTGTTTCCCTGTTTTATAATAGAACAAGACCCCTTAACGTTGTTGGTCTTCATATTTGACGAGTGCAATGTCACTGGCTTACAGGTGCAGTGCCTCTCCATCCACAGTCACCACTGGCAACCAAGGAAAGGGTCTCGCCCAGCCTAAGAGTTGCACCTAAGTTACCTCGACACAGGCCACTAAATCGAACCCAGTCAGCACCGCTGCCTCAGAGCACCTTGGCTCAGCTCGTAATTCAACAACAGCATCAGCAGTTTCTGGAGAAGCAGAAACAGTATCAGCAGCAGATCCACATGAACAAAGTAAGTGTGTGATTCAGAGCCGAACACCTAACGGATACGGTGATACATACAATTTGCGTACCTTTGAGAGAAAGAAAAAAGCCTAGATACCAGAATGACAGTTCAATGTAGAGTGAAGAATGTTTATATTAAAAGCACTTCATCAGGACAAACAGTTAGCTGGAAGGTTCTGCATACACTGCCAGAGGAGTTTGACAGTGATCATGCCTCAGCCTTCAAGCTTACACTCTTTCTCCTCTTGATGTCCTGGATATATAGATTGTAAGTAAACAAATTATTAAAAAGACAGATTATAAATGTTCTATCATGCTAACAGATGATGATGATGATGATTCAATAAATAGTATTATTTACAGTATTTTATTAAACATAAAGCTATATATAAGGAAACTTGAATGGCATTTTTAAACATTAAGTTTTTTGTGATTTCTTACTTCTTAGAAAAACATTTATAAATAGCAATCACTCATTCACATTTGAACTGTTTGTTCTTTTATTCTGAGTAAAATTATTAGAAATTTCTAGAATCAGTCAGTGTAAAGCTTTAAACTGCTTGAACAGAGGGGTTTCCCCCCAAAATTTAATAAGCCAAGATATGGACAAGTCTTTTGCTTATCTCTCCTACCTTCACAGAACTCATAAATGCAATGCAGAAATGGCCAATTCACCATAATTTCCCATTTCATCTGTACCAAAAAATTATGTGCTCTAGTGTTGAAATAAGCCATGGCCTTAAACCAACTTCAGACCATGTTCTGAAGCTGATAACCATAGTTTCCCAATTATGGCAAAGTGGGCAACTATGGTTAATTGCAGACTTCCAAACTGCATTTGGGCATGAAATGAAAGGAGAAAAGCAGCTGCCTGCCTTGGCCCAAGGCAAATGTATATCATAGTTTATTTAGACAAGTTATAATGTTTAAATGTGGCTTGAAGGTTCTCTGGGCATGACACTTCCTGGTCATGTGTAATGCCTGACACACAGTTTAAGCCTACAATTCTAAATGACAGATATAGCAGTTTTATTCTTCAATTATTTACTAATGCTAAAAACATAACATTAGTGTGCATGCTTAGAAAGGAGAAAGTCTGCTCAGCTTATTCTTGAAGCATTCTATATTTTCTGCTCTAAAATCTGGCAACTGCAGGATAATTTTTCACGAAGTAGATTCAAGCTGTCTATAACCATTAAGGCTAAATTGAGGCTAAACTTTTAAATTGCCAAAGGGCAGTTGGCCTGTGTTATCAACTACCATAAAGTGGGGATAATTCAGTTATCTTCTGCTTGTGATTTCTACATCTACAGAGCTTGTTTTCATAGGCAAGTTATTTAGGCAATGTCTATGAGTCCTACACTGTTTGTGCATCTTTTCTTTATTGCTGTAGATGTGGACAGCAATCACATGAAAGAATGAAAATAAAAAGGCATATTCATAGGTGAACCCATCTCACTTGAAAAACTTTTCTCCAGGGATGTGGATTCTTTGGAATCTCTTAAGAATTCCCAACTAAATTAGAAACACAATTTCAAGTTTAAATGCATAGTATGTACAGTGGTTTGGTTATTAAATCTCATCTTAATTAGGAAAAATGAAGAGTAGAGGACTTCAAAGTCAGAGCTGATCCTTGCATGTTAACCCTTCTCAACTAGGGTGTTTTGATTACTCAAGCTGGACTTCAGTTAGCTTTTCATTTAGTATGTGTTCCATATGTTTAATCAATATGGCATAGGTACATCTTGGAGCTTCCAGGTTTTCAAAATATTTCACCTTCCTGCAGTTGTCAGAACAAAAGCAAGATTTTATTACTGATTGAAAGACAGACCCTTTGTGATTTTTTTTTTTCCCCAAAGGGTATCAATAATAAACAGTGGTTAGTAACTTTCCAGGTTTCTCTCAAAATGAATAAGCCAATGTGTCATATTGCATTTTTCCCTTTAGCTTTCATGCATATAATTGTTTGTTTTATATTACATCCACTAGACCTCCAGTCATGCAGCATGGCCAAGTGCTAGACAACATCCCCTGGTTTTTTCAGCATCAGGCAGGCAGATTTATTTTGCCATAAGAACACAAAAATCCTAACCTTCTGCTTACTGTCCCAGCACCTGGCAAACAAAGGCATACAGCTCCTGATACTGGAGATAATATATAGTCCATCATGACTAGAAGCCATTAATAGCCTTATCTTCCAGGAATTTGTCTAATCCCCTTATAAAGTTGTCCAAGTTGATAGCCATCACTACATTTTATGACAGTGAACTCTACAGTTTAGCAATGTACTGCATGGGATACTTCATTTTGTCTATTTGCTTAGCTCTTAGCTTCATAGGATGACCTTGATTTCTAGCATTGTGACATAGAATGCATAATTCAATGCAACTCTATCAGGTCTCCACTGACTCATCCTTTTCCCCCTAAGCTAAATAGCTGCAGCCTTTATACTGTTTCTCCACAGGGACCTGCTCCAGTCCCTTGACAATTTAGGTTGCCCACTTCTTCCAGTTCTATATTTTAAGGCATAGTGACTAGAAGAACTGCACACACCATGGTCACACTGTAGGTTTGTGTACATGTGTTATGCTATTGGCAGCTTTGTTTCAGATTTTTAAAAATTATGTTTAACATGGAATTTGGCGCGACAGCTCAACATTTTCATTGGTCCACTACAGCCCCAAGATCTCTGCATGGTCAGTCACTGCCAGCTCACATCTCACCTTTGTGTCTGAAAAATTAGACTTTTTGCCCCATCATGCATCACTTTACACTTGCTCCCGTTGGACTGCATATGCCATTTTGATGTTCATTCCTTCAGCTGAGAAATTGCGTTTTGGAGTTCTTTGTGATCCCTTTTTTATTTAAATCACCATAAATCATTTGATGTCATCAGCAAACCTCGCCATACAAGTGCTTACCCCAACACTAGATTGTTTGTGTTTAAAAGTGTTAGTCTTAATCCAGAACTTTGGGGGAAGAAGCTACTGTTTAAATCCTTAAATTGCAAGAAGTAACCTTGTATTGCTACTATTTGCTTTCTGTTCTTCCTTCTTCATAAGGAGACCTCTCCTCTTATTTCATGACAGCTATGTGGACTCTTTGGTGAGGAACTTTGTTTATTTGAACTTCCAAAAGGCTTTTGACAATGTTTACTGGATCACCCCTGTCTACATATTTATTTACACTTCCAGACAACTCTAAACTGTTAGTGAAATAGGACTTACCTTTCAGAAGCCATGTTGATTCTTCCAGCACAACCTGGCTGAAATAATGTTATCTTTAACAACTCTTTCCACCTGGCACAGTTGTTAAGCTGACCAGTCTGTAATTTCCTGGATCTTCCCTGGATCTTTTTAAAAAAATGGTGTTACTTTGGCCACCCTGCAGCCCTCTGGTATGGATGCTGATCTTAGGGACATGTTATATATATTTGTTGTTAGAAGATCAGCAGTTTCACATTTGAGTACTTTAATAACTTGGATGGATACTATCTGGATCTGGTAATTTTTATGTTTTTAAATTGTCTCTGGGGTTTACAACTTTATTTCCTGTCATTACTATTTCCCTTAGTTAATCAGATACCATTCAAGTATGGGCTTCTGCTGTACATCTTCTGCAATGATTACAAATGCAAAGAGTTCATTAATCAAACTTTTTACTGCAATCTTCTCATTCTTCTTTAATTATGTTTTAATTCTGACCATCTCTCTAGCCTTTTTCTTGCTTCTGCAATATTTATATGTTTTTATTGATGGGTTTAATGTTGTTAGTAATGGGCTTCACTTTCTCATCCTTTATTGTCTGTTTGCTTTTTGGCACAAGTTAGTGCTTCTTTTGGTTCTTGTTATGCAAGTTTCCAGTTTTTCAAGGATGCCCTTGATAAGCTGCTATGCATACCTGGTGACTACATATGGCTCGTTTGTCACAAAGGCTGTTATATGCTTGGACAATATGAAAAAGTTTTAGGAACCTATTTTGGACAGAATAATAAGATAAAATAATGAGTTTATAATAGAGTGTTAAGCAATGTTTAATGCTGAAGTCCCTGGAGAAATCACCTTCATTTTAGTAAGCATCTGGCTTTTCTAATTTTCCCTCCTCTTAGGTACATTAAAGAATGCTATCAAATCATGAGGCTATTCAAACAATGTTTGAACATATTTCGCCAAACCTTTTCTAGCTACACTGACTTTCAGTTGAAGTGATGGAGAAACTAGAAAGTATTCCAATCTGAGTATCCCCATTCCATATTAAGCAACACTGGGACTCAGTCAAGATTATCTATGCCTGGGAAACAACTTAAAAATGAAGGCTGGGATGGTGCTATCTTAATTTGCTGTATTGCTGACAACAACCGCAATGGCAATTTGTAAACTGGTCCTCAGTCTACTCCTATACAGCATGAATAATAATGAGAACAGTAACAAGTAGTTCTCAAAGCAAGCTTTGCAAAGCAAGCTACTTCATAAACAAGAATGGAAAGCCCTTGACCTTATCCCTGTTAATCATGGTACATTTGCGTACTTCTGTGATCTAATAGTAAAGCTATATAAAGACTTTGAAAAAATTGTATGTTATACATCATCTCTGGATCTATAAGACCTCTATAATAAGATCTGGACAGAAGTTTTCAGAATCACAGAATTACATGAATCAGTCTTGATTCTTTAGTAAGATTAATAAATCCCAGCTATAAGACAATAGAGTGATTGGAGTGATAACTAGCAAAAGTCAACATAAGCCAAAGGTAAAGGTTTATTGGATTGTTTCTACTACAAAAAGGAGAAACAATCAGCCAGACCAAGAAGTTTGCATTAATCCTTGTTGCAAATGAAGAGCCCCCATGGTTTCTTCTGTCATTTGTCAGAGACCATGTTTTTGATGTGGGAAACAGTATACCTTCTCATTGGAGTCTGACGTTTATACCTATGGGATGCACTACACTGACCTTCTCAAAACATTTTAGCTGAAATGCAAATTTTGACATCTCATCCAGAAGTCAGT